CCATACCTTTTAATTTTATTTACTTATTTTTTAAGTGGTGCTGAGGATTGAACCCAGCGCTTCACACGCCCCAGCCCCTCTTCATTATTTTTTAATGGAGTCAAGTCATAAAGTTCATGGAGCCAGACTTCAAGGTGGGGATACTGCTCAGGAGTCTTAGGCAGGAGGATCTCAAGTTTGAGGCCAATCTGGGCAACTCAGCAAGATGCTATCTCAAAAGTAAAAAAAAATTAAAGAAGACTGGAGATGTAGCTCAGTGGTAGAAGGATGATCGACCAACCAAAGATCCCAGTGTCTTTTGGTTCAGTTACTCCACTTTAGCCACAGTCTGAATCAGGTTTCTCAACTGAGGGTGCTCCCCCTTTCCAGGGGACAGGTAGCAACATCTGGAGAGATTTTTATCTGTTACAACTGAGAGGAGGTTGTTACTGGCATTTAATAGCAGCCACAGATGCTGCTATTCTATGATGCACAGAAGAGCCTCTTACAATAAAGAATTATCTGGTCCAAACGTCCACAGAGCTCATGTTGAGAAATCTTGGTCTAGATTGTAGGGCAAATCTTCCATCAACTTTTATTAGCTGGTATCTCGTTTTGTTAAGTGTCAATGTAGGAGAAAATGACCTATCTGCTACATTGTAAAAGAACTGGTGGAAGAATTTTGATATGTCCCTTCAAAATCTCACAAAACAAGGGAGTTGTCACAAGAGGGCCAGTCCTTAGTGGCTGTCCTCCCTACAGCATGGCCTAGATTTGAAGCCTTTGAAGAGGTTATGTTGGAACTATAAAATCCAGGTGACTGCACCATGTAATTTTTCTTTTTTTAGAAAGGGAGATATTAATTTTTGTCTCAACCTTACAATTAGTTCCATATCCAAGATTGTAAATGATAACCCCGAGGAGACAACACGTATTCATTATTTTGTATACTGTTGCTATTGATGTAATACTTGTATTTAGAAGGGAGCTGATGGCAAAATAAAATAAATATTTATAATACACAGAGTGATACTTGATGCTGTTATTAGGCTTACCTCTAATTGTTTATGTAGCATTTTATAAACATATATTAAAGATATAATGAATTCTCATGATACCCATGGGAAGCAAAGAGGGGGTGGGTTATATTACTCCTATTTTAAGTCCTCTTAAAATAATTACGCTTGCCTGGAGTTACACACTGATTATCTGAACAGACAAGATTAAATGGTAGATTTTGAAAATGGTGACATTTCTGTCAGCCAGTGCAGGGTTCTGCTTGTTGGTATCGATTCATCAGACCTTGGTTAGGAACCAGTTGTAAATGTCTTAATTTGAAAATCCTTTAAAAACGTACACTGCAGATTTTGAATGATGGTTACTAATTTGCAAAGGACAATGTGGCAAGGACATTTAAATTCCTAGTGTTTTATTGTTTTTAAACAAAAACACAGAATAGAGGAGTAGAAAGCAAAATCACAAATTATATTCAATAACTATTTACTATGGGCCACCTGGTGTAAAGTTCTGTGCTCCAAGAGATGAAAGATAAATATATATTCTTCATATGGCATTTAATTTATAGTTGGGGAGTACCAAAATGTGTGTATAAGGAGGCCTCCGTGACCTGGAAGGGAGAGTTTGTGAGAAACTGGAGATGGGTCAGTAGTATTGGTTCAAATGGACAGGGAGAATCTGGGAATGGGATTCAACTAGACAGGGTTAATGAATATGAGTAGAGTCCTTCTTGCTACTTTCTGGAAAAGAGAAACTGTTCCAGAGAGCTCTCAAGTGGTTGTTTCCCACTATGTGAACTGAAGGCAGAAAAAATTGAACTGCAAAGAGAAGGAACAGAAGTACACAGGAGATAGAGACTACCTGGGTTCCTGCCTAGTTTCTGGTTCTGATCTCTTCTGAGCCTCAGCTACATCCCTATCTCCTCCAGTATCATCAAGTAAATCTGTTTTTCTTTGTCAACCAATAGCAGCCAGGTAATTGGCAAAGCCAGGAATACTGGCCAGGGACACAGGAATGAACACAGAAGGTTGACTATTCATCAGTATATCTAAGCCTCAGGGCAAACACTTGGAAACAGTCTGTGGGCAGCTTTGGTTTGGAATCCAGGTTGTGGGTCTGCCAGGGGTTTAGCCGGCTGAAGGGGGCTCATGAGGTCTTGTTCCTGCTACTCAGGCTATGAGGCTCTGGATTTTTTCATTGAGACACATTTCCATGGATACAAAGAAGTCTCCTTGCTCTCTGAATTTTGACTCAGTTTGGTGAGTAGTGGCTGCTGCTTACAGGAAAACTGGATAAAACCACATTTCAAATCAGGTAGATTACTTTCTAAAAGTAGAAAGAGTCATTCATTTGGAACCAAATCACCAACTTCAGAATAGCTGTTTTGGCAAATGAAGTGTTTGCCTTAGTATTTTTAATGTGATATTTTAATGATACTTGGCAATAATTCATTTTTATTGTTTTCTAGTCATCTTGATGGCAACATAATTCATGATATTCTATGTCTTTGAGAGTCCTAAAATTTCACAATCAAGCAACATGTTCTTAAAATACTGGTAAATGCTCTGGCAAAATTATTTAGGGTTCAGTGGACTAGAGTGAAAATACTTTTATGCCTGGCTTTTTTTCCTGTGTTACATATCATCCTAAAATTACTCATGGAAAGTCATTTACAAAGCTTTTTATTATGAATCATTTTAAACATACAGAAGATTAGGAAAAAAACCCATAGCCTCCTAGACACATCACTTACATTTCAGAACTGTTAATATTTTGCAAAATTTAATTCAACTTTATATCAGAGAGGTGCATTTTAAAGAAAAAAGTCTACACCAGATACTTACTTGGACTTTATTTTCCAGAGTCTAAAGATTACAGTACACTTTGCATAGTAACACTGAAGAGAAAACAGCCAGCAGTTTTCTGGCACTTTTTTAATCTGGAAAAAACACAAGAAAGCAAACCTTCCTTCACCTTTTAAGTGCAAACTGACGAAAAATACCCAGTAGAGCTCCTATGAATCACAGAGCCTCCCAGTAGACACTGAAAACACGTAGTTGAACTTTATTTCAATTGTTATTTTACAGCCATGCATGACAAATGCATTTTTTCTTACTCTCTTGGAGAAGAGCTCTAACAGTGTCCTCAGGGTGAAGAAGTCAGAGAAGCTGGAGTGGAGTGCTCAATAAAAAGTCTGCACTGGGACAGACTGCCTCATTTTGAATCCCTTACTTTTCTGTGTTTTGGAACAGAGTACCTAACTTTTCAAGGTCTCACATGAAAAACGGGTTTAGGGCTTTGTTGAAACCAAGGTGTAAAGCATCTATCACAACTACCTGCCAGGTGGACACATCAATCAGACCTTAGGACCCCCCCTCCCTAGCGTTTCTGATTCTGTCCATAATTTGCATTTCTAACAAGCTGTTGGGTGATGGCAATGCGGTAGGCCCAGAGATAACGGAGACCCCAAGTGATTCAGGGGAGGAGAGCAATAAATGTTCATTATTCACATCATCACCATCCAAGCTGTCCACCAGCAGGGTTCGTGGGTAGTGCACCACAGGGAGGAGCGAAAGTCTCGGTTCTGACATCCCTGCCAACACATCAGGCCTCTGCCCCGGGGAACAGGTTAGATCAGGGGGGCGGCTGCCTTACGCAAGAGGACCCCACTTCCAACTTCTTCCTCTGGGAAAAAAGCAGAGGCCATCCACTGCTGGAGTTCTGAGCTCTCGATATCGCAGCCGTTAGCGTCTGGTCAGAACGAGAGCATGTCCTCTGGGCCAGCAGAGGGCCGGTGCAGCGATTCCGACACCCCAGGTTCGGGTGGAGGCAGGTGTGGAGCTGAGGCCCTAGCCTGGAGGGAGAGAGGATGTGGTGGATAAGGAGGCTCTCTTCTGTCCCACTGGCGCTGGGATCAATTCCGACCGCCCGCGGCCGGCCGGGTGACCGGGCGGAAGATGGCTGCCCGAAGCGCCGCGGACAGTCACGTGTCACACCGACACCGCCCGCACGCCCCCTCCCCGCCCGCGGAGTCCCCGACCAGGCGGGAGGTATAGCCCCGAGCAGCCTCGAAGCCACAGAAGGTGCCGCGCGTGCCGTTCAGGGAAGCAGGGCACCGCAGCCTAAGGTCAGCTTTCTCCGCCGCCCGCCCTAACCCGGGCGCAGGGGTTCCGCTCCCGGAGCAGAGGAAAACCTTCCTTAGGGCGACCCACACCGGGTTGGACTATACTGGGCATGCGCAGGGCTCCCGCCCGGGCACACCAATCTCCAGGTTTTCGCCGCAGCTCGCAGGGGCGACGAGAGGTGGGGCCAGGGCGGGACGACCCCGACGCGCTCCTAGTCCTTATAGCAAGGATAGGAGCTTCTCCGGGATACTCCACATTCCCTGGCTTCGCGGGCCTTTTGGCTCAGGCAGCTCTATTATTTTTGGAGAGTGGGTAGGAAGATGGAAGTCTATGGATAGAGGTTTTAAAATGCACCAGATTTTGAAGTCTTTCTAAATACATGGCCAACCAGGAGTTAATCACAAGTGTCGCAGCTCTTGAGCACGCTGGGAAAGAGACTCCAAGCGTAGTTCGACAACTGGGGCCCCGATCCTGGCTTCCTTGAAGGCTGGGTTCCCGGTCTCCGCATTCTGACCGGCTCCAGCGGCTCAACTTTCCTGCTGTGCTCTAAACGGTTTATCATCACAGATCATAAACCCCGGCTTCAGTCCATCCTCCCTTAGCGGCTTCCTGTCCAGCTGGGTCTTGCTCGTCTTTGGGGGAAGCACCCGCCTCCTCAGTTTCCCACTGCTTGAAAGTAAAATAAATGAAGCCCAAACCCCGATCACCCGGTGGCGTGCAGTCCGGTGCGGGTCCCCCCTGGTCCCCGGAAGAGCCCCCCGCGGACTCCGCCTGGCCGGCCAGGCCCGCCCCTCGGCCGCCGTGAACACCCGGAGGAGCGGACTCGGGTCGCGCGGGAAACCGGGCCGGCTCGGGCCGCGGACTGGGCATGCTCGTCAGCCCGGGAGGCTCGCGGTGGCAAGTCGGAAGCGTTCGCACCAGCGAGGCAGCGGCCGGGGCAGCGGCGGCGGTCAGGACGGGAGTGGGAAGGGCCGGTCCGGGCAGGTTGCTAGTCCCTTGCTCCTGGCAGGCCGACCCAAGAGCGCGATCCCGTGCAGAGCCCGGACGCTGCCCTGCCCCGGATTTCGTTCCGCGGCTGGGGGATCGGCGAGCGGAATTCCGGGCGGCTGCAGCGACTCCGGTGCAAGTGAGTCGTGGGGTGGGGGCAGAGAGCCGGCCTCCGGGTCGCGGGGGCCGATCGGACACCGGTCTCGCGGGTGGGCCTGACCCCGGGGAGCGGCAGTTGGGCAGCCTTGGGGCGAGGGGGCGTGAGCGCAGCCCGCACGGTGCCGCGCGCGTACCTGGCGGGCACTCCCCTAGCGCTGCCGCTCCCGGGGGGTGGGCGCAGAGGGCGGTCCGGCGGCTAGGATCCCGGCTCGGAGGGGGCGGGCCACCGGCGGGGCTCCCCAGCCCAGCTGGGGTGGGGAAGAAGGTGGAGGCGTCAGTGGGCACCTTTTCAGAGGTGCTGCGTGCTGGAAAGGTTGCTTGATGTCATATCTGGGCAAGCGGACGGTGGCGGGGCCCGAGATCTGGGAGGCGAGGATCCTCCGGGTAGTGGCCCGCCGGGGTCCGGAGCAGCTCTGGGCCCGACCCCAAATCACAGCCCCACCCCCACAGCCCAAGCGGCGGCGTGACAGTTGGTACTTCTAGCCAGGTCGCAGCCGGCTAGGCGCCCACGGTTTCGGGGTATCTCCACCTCGATGTCCCCCGACGACATAACAGGTGGGACCCCCAAGGAACGAGTCCCTTCTCCCCACACCGCGTAACACCCCCCAGGCTCGCGGGCGGCTCTGAAACTCCGCAGGGTTGCCCCCATTGAGTCAGGGTGTTAAGGGGTAAGGCCTGGAGGGGCCATTGGTGCAGCTCAGAACTGGACAATCTCTCCCAGAGGCTGCTTGCCCAGTGAATGAAAGGGTCCCTGAGATTCCCAGGCGACTTGTCAAGGGCAAAGCAGCGGCACCAGCTGCCTCTCCGACCGTGTTAACCCGAACTCGGGCTTGTGGTTTCCTCTGGTGGGCTGGGTGCGGTGCCTTGGTCCTGCTAACGGATTCAGCCTAGCGCGTTCTGGTTAAGGCTTGTTCCCTCTTGGGTGTCGCTAGTAAAAATCGGGATGGGGGTTGCTGTGGACGGAGGGAGCGAAGAGAATCCAGGCAGGTGCTTCTCAGATGTTTCTTTTCACCTTCAGACAGTACAGACTTAAGTGGCACACGTTTATGAAACCAAAAGGAAAAAGAATGGTCCTGAAAGGGAAGTTTATTTTCTACGTACGGAGCCAGCCTTCTATTTTAGCTCTTCTGACATTTACCTTTCTGGACCTTTAAGCTGTTTGGACAGGTTATTTTGCTGTCAGATTCGGGGGTGTTTCTGGTTGGCTGCCTGTGAAAGTGGTGAATATCCGTCACGGTGTACTGTGAACTGCCTATGCCTTCTGGCGCTGGGGTTTTCAGAGGGACTGAGTGGGCAGAAAAAGAGGAGTGGGATTGGTGACGTAGGAATGCAATGGGAGTTGCCTGGGGGCAGTCCTGATGTAATGGGGTTGCCTACTGTTTTGGCCTGAGCAGAAGGGGAGAGAGTTGGGCATTTCATTGGTCGGGGTGTAAGATGTCCATGGGAGAAACTAGGCGGGGGTTGGGTGCCTGTCTGGTCAGTGCTTCAAGGGAAGCCCAGGGATGTTTGGTGATTCAGCAGGTGGCAGCCTTCCAGCTCTGCCTTGCCTTGGCCCAGCAAGCAGGCAGGCAAGCAAGCAGGGCAGCAGAGCCTGAGCCTGCTGTTGGAGGTGTTAGCTGTGGGGGAGACTCAGGAGCTGCCTTCTGCCTGTAGGGCTTACTTTCCTTATCTTGCTTCCTGTTTAGGTATGCAAGCCCTGGGCCTTTGAGCTTCCTTATTGCTTCTCTTAAATTATATAGTACATTTTTGAGTCTCTTCAACTGTGAGAACTATGTAGCAAGAGGTGGTAGCTACTATCATACAGTTTAAGCTGCAGAGCGATAGCCTTTCCTTTTTCCCCTTTTTCTGCTTCAGAAAATAAAACTTTGTTTTTAGTAAAATATAGTTCTGTAAGTTTTCAGTGTTGATAGCTGTTTCAAACACACAGAAACTTTTTTGAACAAAATTAATTCAAGGCATGCATTAAATTGGTATTAAAGGGAAGCATTAAGATAGTGTCTTATTCATTGGAGAATCCCTAGCATTTTGCACAGTATCTGACTTGTATACTCAATAAATGCTTATTCAGCTGAAATTAAAAAAAATTTCTAATAGAAGAGCTTATTAATATTCATATTCCTCGTGTGTTTTTACATTTACAAATGGGGTTCTCTCTTCAGCATTTATAGAGTAAAGAATACATGACAATGTCTATATGTTGAAACTTAAAGAAGTATGTTTAGGAACTGGAGATGTACTCAGTAGTAGAGCATTTGCTTAATATGCATGAGGCCTTATGTTCAATCCCCAGCAATGCAAAAAAAAAGGGGGGGGGGGGGGGGACATAGTGGCACACTCCTATAATCCCAGCGGCTCCAGAGGCTGGGGCAGGAGAATAACAAGCATGAGGCCAGCTTTAGCAATTTATGAGACCCTGTCTCAAAATAAAATAAAAGGGTCTGCAGATGTAGCTCAGTGGTAAAGCACACTTGAGATTAAAATGAAGACTTTTTTTGGGCTGGGGTTGATGGCTTATTGGTAGAGTACTTGCCTAGCACATGTGAGGCTCTGGGTTCAATCCTCAGCACCACATAAATATAAATAAATAAAATAAAGGCATACTGTCCATCTACAACTAAAAGAAGTTAAAAAATAAATACTTTAAAAAAAACTATGTTTTCATAAAATCTAATTCCCTGTGTTGCCATTCAATTTTACTTGAAAATGCAATTCTTTAATTTTTCTTGTTAAATCTCTCTCTTTCAACTTGTGGAAGATCCTGCACTTTGGCTAGAAAAATGGGTGTACTTTGCTAATTATTCCATGAAAATCCAAAGAACTCTTTTTGTATACTAGCTGTCAGTAATTTTTTTTTTTTTTAAACTAAAAGTGCTCCTGGTGATAGAGAATAGGAGAATAGACAGATGTGATTGGTGGGAACATGATGTAGAAGGAATAATTCTATAAACTGAGCCCATTGTGCTAAACTCCATATGCTTTCCTTTTTAAAAAAAAAAAAACAAAAAAACAATTTGCCTGCAGTCTGCTTGGCTTACATTGACAGATATGTTACATTCCTCAGCAAACTACCTGTAGGAGGAATGCAGGTCTAAAATGCTGATTAAAAAGAACACAAGTTACTCTGAAGGGTGGGACTTTTGAGACCCTTACACAGACCAGATCCCATAACTTGGGGAGATAAGGATAATTCCTCTTAACCATAAAATCTCCAAGAACAGGTTCCAATTGGAACCCGTCTGCATGGGCCAAAGTGACCTAGAGTTTCATGCTCATTGTGGACTTGAAAGTCTGATGTCATCCTGTTGTCACTTAATATCAAATGGCAGACATGGGGGTACTCCTTGGAAACTTCCCTGGAACCCTTGTAAAACTGGAAGAGCACACCATATTCTGAGAGGATCCACTTTTTCCCTTGAGTGTCCCCCTTTCCACTTTCCTATGCCTTCTAATAAACTCATACCTGTTACTCTGAGCAGCATGTCTGAAGTCTTTCTGGCCTTACTGCAAGAGTTGGGATTTGAAGCGAGGCCTCAGTTTTGAGAAAGATCCCATGCCCCATAACACTAGTGCATATCAAATATACTTTAATTTATGAAACTTCATTTTCTACAAAGTATTTTAGGGAAGCTCTGTAGAATTCCTAACACTTTACCATCCAATGTAAAGTGCTGCTGTAGGAATGATGCAGTTATTTTGAGAATAAAAATTCTGGGTTGTTTGTACCTGGGGTTACATGCCTCAGTCTTTAGGGAGGCATGGGATCACTCTTCTGCCCGCTATCTTTGCTTTTCTTCTCCTTCTTCAATTTGTTTAGCTATTATAAATACATATTTTTCTGACTTGGGCTTACTTATTGAAAGTTGCTGTCAGAATGATCTGTGGCTTTTTGTCACGTAAGTTTGGTAATGATTTTTTTTTTTTTTTTTTGGTACCAGGAATTGAATCCAGAGCCATACCCAGTTTACCACTGATCCGTATCCCCAGCCTTTTTTTTTTTTTTTTTGAGACAGGGTCTCACTAAGTTGCTGAGGCTGGCTTTGAACTTGAAAGCCTTAAGCCTTAGCCTTCTGAACTGCTAGGGATTACAAGCATATGCCACCCTGCCCAGTGTTAATGATTTGTAGTTTTTGGTTGTCCTGCCAGTTCACTGTTTAGCTTCTCTTGGAAAACTCTGACCAGTGCCCCTCTGTGGGACAGAGAGTTTATAGATGGCTTTGCCTTTGCTAATTTTGGTTAGTAACTAGTCAAAACATTTGCTTTTGGAAGAATATTCATAATATGCTGGTCTTAAGGATTCTGACTTTTCTGTTAAAGCCTCTTGGTTATAAATAAATGCTTATTTACTCACAGCTACTATATTCTAAGAGTTCTGTGTAAAGTTTGTACATTAAGCTACCTAATCACATGAGGACCTTATTTTGGATCAGTCCAGTTGGATGTGGGAGTGGGGAGACAGGACTGGATATAAGGGAGGGGAGAATAAAGAAGAGAGGGCAGGAGGATTGGGCAGAAAGATGGCTTGGTTTTGTGATTTGTGACTTCTGGTCTTTAAAACCTAATTGAATGACTGAAGAACAAGAGTGACTTGGACTCCACTGGAATGCTTTGTCCCCTGCGGAGTCTTCTTTATGTCTAGCTGCAGATATAGCAGATAGCCAAATAGACATGCAAATACTGAGACACACACAGATCCGAAGACACAGAGTCACACACAGGCAAAAGGAGACACAGACAGATGTAGATACACACACCCTTTTCCAAAACCCAAGAACCCCAGCTTCTTTTGAAACTAGTGTGTCAAAGAGGGAACATTAGTGTTCAGTAGCAGGTTGGATTCAGGGGCTGGAAATGAGCCCATGCTTGTGGTTTGGAAAAGATTTGCCCCCACTTTCAGGGGTCAGCTGATCTTCCCCTGAATGATACAAAGCTATTGGGGCTTGAACTGAAGCAGCTGTTGTGTGTGAAGGCAGGTGAGAGAGG